AGCGATTTAAAAGGACTCAAGCCCTCCGGCTGGCATTTCTGCAGCACCTTGGCCAGAACCGTGAAGGGCACTCCAGGCCCTTCAAATCACTGCTGGTACCCCAGATCTCCCAGCGGCCACTGCCACAGCCTGAGAGCAATGAAGGGCTGGATTCCAAGCCCCGCCCCTTCTGCCCAAAGCCCCGCCCCTTCTGCCCAAAGCCCCGCCCCTTCTGGTTGCTTTCTGTTCCACAGCTGGGCTTGTCCTCTTGCCTGGGCAGGGTGAGCGCAGAAGCTTGTAACAGGGGCAGGTTCAGTAGAGTTCCAAGGAACTGCCTGGCTAGAAAAACTAGCTTCCTACTCCTCGGAGGGGGATTTTGACCAGTTAACATTTTAGTGGTTAAAGGCTCAAAGATTTGTTGACAAATGTCTTTTTTCCCTGCATCATCTCTGCCCAGGGAGTGGCTCCTGCCTTGGTGACAAATCTTTTCTTACTAAGCCAAAGATCATAACTTCCCCCCCAGAGGCAGTTGTATCCTCCCTTCTTCCAGCCTCCCCTCTCCTTTAGACCTGTCTTTTCACCCCCTTCTTGCCACCTAGGAATCAGAGCTGAGCCTGTTATGTGCTAGGCATGTATTCCACTCCCTGGAGCTCTAGTCAAACCCTTCCTCATTCATAGCCTTTCAGCCCAAGAAGCTCTGAAATACACTTCCTTCTGAGGACATGTGCCAGTGAGATGTAACAACATTGACTTGGTGCGCAACAGAATGTAATGAAGTGAGCCCGGAATGGATCTTATTAAGGTTATTGAGCAGCGTGGGAATGGCTCTGTAACTGTGACCTTTCGATATCTGGGGGTTCCTCTCATCCATCCAACGTGGAACTGGCTTGAACCCCCACCCAGTAACCTGGGAGATTCACACACCACCCCTGGGTGCCTCGGAGAGGCAATGCTTCCCCACACGCAGCAGAGTCTGAGAATAGAAAAAAAACCCTTTAATAAAAGGGGAGGGAAGTAACGTGGCATTAGTGTGGGAAAACAGAGTTCATAACCAAAAGCATGAGTAACAGTCCCACCCCAAAGTTGGGCAATGTCCTTTTCCTCTCAGGTTCTTAAGTCCAGCAATGTAAATGTCCCCTTCACAACCTCAACCCTTCTCTGTACCCCACTCATAAGTCATTGCCCTTGCTGAGGGCAGACCCAGAGTAAATTTAAAATAATAAGAGACTTTGTATGGTTGAGTTCAATCATTGAGGGGGCGGGAAGAAACCGGTTGAACCCATCTTACAGCTCACACCTGCAGGGCACATAGCTGGCTGATTCAGAGTCCTGCCGTCCTCCACTCAACTTCACAGAGCTTTGGCAGCCTGATCCATCCGAGGTTCTTTACACCGACAACGTCTCTCCTTTTGAGCCGAGTTAAACACAGTCTGACTTTTCTGCATTCCCACAATGACTAAATGCATATCTCACCAATTCCTGCATTTAGTGTTAACAATTTGTGACCCCACAACAGGCAAATTGGTTACAGTGGGCAAAATACCATTGTAAGAGTTGAATATCGAGCAGGCCTAAGCAAACTGAATGAACTGTATTTACATGCACACACTCAGAATCACATTCTTTAACCTGAGAATGTTTCCCTCCTTTGTGCCAGGTTAAGCACAGACTTTCTTCATTTGTTTTCCCCCCAATAATTACAGACATTGCAATTAGTATTAACACAATTTGAGACCCAACACCAGCCAAGTTGTTTATAATGAGCAAAACACCAATGTAACAGCCAAATATCTCACACATCTAAGCAAAGCAGGGGCAAACTGTATTTACATAGACACACCCAGGATTTCTTTCCCATTGCAGCTGGCTGTAATGGAAGCATTGATTCAGACTTTGCTTACATAACTATAATTGGCAGTGAAAGAAATGGCCTTACTTTGGAAACCAAAAGGTCAGGGCCAACTTATCTATTAGGCACAGTGCCTAGGGCCCACGATACTTTTAGGGGTTCACAAAAATGTTTTAATTTCTTTTAAAATCAGAAGAAAAAAATGAACTTTTAGGGTCGAAGAAAATGTTTTAATTTTTTTCTCACATCAGACAAAAATGAAGCTTTTAGGGCCCACGAAAATCTATTAAATTTTGCCTAAAACAGAAAAAAAAATGTTGAAGTATTTAAAGTTATATCAAAACTAATTTTTAATATGGATATTATTATGGTGGGAGGGGCCCACGAAGGCAAAAGTGCCTAGGGCCCACGGAAGTCATAATGCGGCCCTGCAAAAGGTCACTAAATCTAGTGACAGAATTGCAAAGTTGGCAACATAGAAGGCCAGTCCCTTCCTATCAGGCTTGGAGAAAAGGTCTTCTGCATTACTACACTCAGTTTGTTCCACAAGCAAAGGTATTTAGGTACCTAACAGTCACTGATTTCAATGGGAGTTAGAGTGGCGAGGAGTCCTGTGGCACCTTATAAACTAACTGAAGTGTAGGAGCATAAGCTTTCGTGGGCAAAGACCCACTTTGTCAGATGCATGTAGTGGAAATTTCCAGAGGCAGGTATAAATATTCAGGCCAGAATCAGGCTGAGGTGGATCCAATCAGGGAGGATGAGGCCCACTTCTAGTAGCTGATCTGGAGGTGTGAATTCCAAGAGAGGAGAAGCTGCTTTTGTAGTTAGCAAGCCATTCACAGTCTTTGTTTAATCCAGAG